GTTGTCTCCCTGCGGACTTCATCCCTTAGCTCTTGCATATTCCTCTGCAGGTCCATCAGCATGGTTATGACTTTTATTTTGAATTCTTTTTCAGGAAGATTGGTTATATCTATCTTGCCAGGCCCTCTCTCTGGGGTTGTTTGAATGATTTTTGACTGGACCAGATTCTTCTGCCTTTTTATGGCAATAGAAGTGATCACTGGCAGGTGGCACATGTGTCAGCTGGGAGAAAAAAGTCACTTCCTGCTTGCTGATCACCTTGCCCTTCTCCACTGCCTGTGCTTGTTATACACAAGGAGTAGTCTCTGAGTTAATCCCCTGAGCTGCTGTGGGCAGGGCAGCTCTTGGGATAGCCTAGGGCTCTGTGGGGGGTTGCAGACATGCTGGGTGTGTTCTCCTGCAAGAATGGTGCACCTTTGTGCCTTCTGGATCTTGTGCCAGCTTCCTCTGCTTGTGTCAGGAAGCTGCATGCTGGTGGCAGCCTCTGGGTCTGCCCTGGTTAGCTGTGCCCTGGCAAAAGACTCTGTGTATTTGCTGTAGGCAGGGCTGCTCCCCGGCTGCTCCAAAGTAGTGGCAGGTAAGCCATTTTGTTTGCAGTGCTAGTGGGGAGTAATGAACCAAACTGCAGGCTGCTTATTACTGTGAGGAGCTTTGGAGCTGTGTTGTCACCCAGGGGTTTAGGGTTCCTGAAGTTCCTCAAGATTCCCAGCCTGCTGGGCTGAGCATGCTGGGAGAACTTTGTCCATCTGTTAAACCCTTGCCCCTTTAAGACCTTTAAAGTGCCAGCTTTTCTTTGTCCCAGGGGAGCTGGCTGTGGGGACCTGCCCACAGTCTCCATCTCAGATTTTACTTTTCCATTTCTCTAATATCCAGTACACCATGTGATGTGTGTTTGTGCTCCCAGTGCAGATTACTAGGGCTGGTTATTTAGCAGTCCTGTGCTTAAACTTCCTCCCCACTCTGATTCCTTTCCTTCCACCACTGAGCTGGGGTGAGGGGAGTGCTCATGTCCTGCTGGGTCACAGCTTTGTTTCTTACCCTTTTCTTGAGATGCTGAGTTCTCGCAGATGTAGATGTAGCCTGGTTTTGCACTGTATCTTCTGGTCTCTCTTTTAGGAATAGTAATATTTGCTGTATTTTCAAAAACATATATGGTTTTGGGAGGAGATTTCTACTGCCCTCTTCATGCTGCCATCTTGAGCGCCTCCTGTAGGCTTGTTTTCTTTGTGTAATTTATTTAGTTTCATTGTGGTTTGAGAAGCTGCTTGCTCCAATTTCAATCTGTTTAAATTTATTCAGGCTCTTCTTGTGGCCTAGTATGTGATCTATTCTGGAGACCATCTCATGTACACTTGAGACAAATGTGTATCCTGCTGCTTTTGGGTGGAGTGTTCTCTAGATATCTGTTAAATCCATTTGATCTATCTATGTTCAGTACCTCTGTTTCCTTACTTTGTCTGGTTGACCTGTCTGTTGATGCGAGTGGTATGTTAAAGTCTCCTAAAATGAATGTGTTACAATCTATTCCCTCTTTATTTCTGTTAATATTTGTTTTACATATTTAGGTGTTCCTATGTTAGGTACATAGATATTTATAATGGTTATATCCTCTTTTTGGACTGATCCCTTTATCATTATGTAATGTCCTTCTTTGTCTCTTGTTACTTTCTTTGTCTTCAAATTAATTTTGTCTGATGTAAGTACTGCTACTACTGCTTTTTTCTCCCTATTATTTGCATAGAATGTCTTTTTCCATGCCTTCAGTTTTAGTCAGTGTATGTGTGTGGGTCTGAAATGAGTCTTCTTGTAGGCAGCATATAGATAGGTCTTATTTCTTTATCCATTCTGCCACTCTATGTCGTTTGATTGGTGCATTCAGTCTATTCACTTTTAAGGGAATTATTGATAGATATGTACTTATTGCCATTTTATTGTTTTCTGGCTGTTTTTTTTTATAGCTCCTCTCCTCTCTGTTCCTTTCTTCCTCTCTTATAGACTTCTATTTTTATTGATGGTTTTCTTTGGTTTTGTAATTGGATTTCTCTGTTTATTTCTGTGTGTGTGTTTGTGCATGTGTGTGTTTATTTTAGGCTTTAGTTTTTGGTTACTAGAAGTTCAAGATGCTTCCTTACTATATAATAGCCTATCTTAAATTGCTGATTAGTCTATTTCAAACACAATCTAAAGGTACTTTTCCTTTTTCTTCTTCCTTCTCCCCATTTTTGTATTAGATATCATAATCTGCACTTTTTTGTGTATCCCTGCAATTTTGTGTACTTTTGTGTATAGTTGATTTTGCTTCTTAATTGTGTAAATGTTTGGTAATTAGTTGGTATACTACCTTTACTATGGGGTTATTTTCACTGGTGAAAGCTATTTAGCCTTTGGGACATTTCCATCTACAGCAGTCTCTTTAACATGTCCTCTAAGGCTGGCTTACTTGTGGTGAATTCCTTCAAGTTTTGTTTTCTGGAAATTGTTTAATATCTGTTGCAAATTTAAATGGTAATCTTGCTGGGGAGAGAATTCTTGGTTGGAGGTCCTTCTGTTTCTGTACATTAAATACATCATGCCACTCACTCCCTTCGGGCCTGTAGAGTTTCTGCTGAGAAGTCTGCTGATAGCCTGATGGGATTTCCTTTATAAGTAATCTTTTTTCTCTCTCTGGCTCTCTTCAACACTCTCTCCTTATCCTTGATCTTTGCCACTTTAATTATTATATGTCTTGGTGTTGTCTTCCTAGGTTTCCTTTGGGTAGGGAATCTCTGCACTTCCATAACCTGAGTGTCTATGTCCTTGTCCAGACTGGGGAAGTTTTCAACAACTTTTTCTTTAAGGAGACTTTTTATTCCTTTTTCTTTCTCTTCTCCTTCTGCTACCCCTAATTATGTGGATATTATTCCATTTGGATTGGTTACATAACCCTCTTATCATTCTTTTCTTCCTAGAGATCTTTTTTTTTCTCTGTTCCTCAGCTTCTTTGTTTTCCTGTTCTCTAATTTCCAATTCATTTACCATCTCCTCTACCTGCTCTAGCGTACTCTTAAATCCCTCCATTGTATGTTTCATTTCAGTTACTCTGTTCTTCATCTCTGAATGGCTCTCTTTAAGTTCTTCTATCTCTGTTGGGAGTTCTCCCAGAGATCTTGAACATTTCTCTATAAATCATGAACATGTTTATAACTTTTATTTTGAAATTTTTTTCAAGAAGAATTGGTGATCTCCATTTCATTTAGTCCTTTTTTCTGGGGTTCTAGCTTGTTGTTTTGTTTGGATCATATTCCTCTGTCTACTCATCTTGACAGAGATGAGTAGAAAGAGTTTCTGTATTTCTTCCTTTGTATTTGATGGCTTTGCTATGCTTCTGGCCTATAGAGTAATAGCTTTATAAAGAAGGTATCCTATAGTACCCAGAAGCTCAAGATTCTTTACCCTCTAGTGCCTGATTCTACTTTGTGGGGGCCTCAGATGTTGGCATGCAGACAGGGCATCTTTCTGTCTGTGTTGGCAGTTTGCTTCAGCAGCTGCCTTTGTGATCAGCAGGTGTCTCTGTTGAGCTTGCTGTGGGTGGGGCTTCCCTCTGCACAGCCTGCAGCAATGGCAGGGCTGCAGGGATGTAGGGGTGGGCAGGCTGGTGTGCAGTTCTGCACAGGCTGGATGCCCAGCACTGAGCTTGGACACTTGCAGAGAGGAAGGAATTCTTGTGTCTGGCTCCTGCAAGCATCTCCCCAGTTGGGCTGTAACAAAGTCAAGGAATCTGGGAGAGTCTACCTTTGCCTGCCAGGCAGCAAAGTCTGATGCTGCCACTGTGCCAAGTGGGTTGGCTTGCAGCAATGCATGCAGGGAAGAACCTCAGGGCTCTTTAACCAGCAAAGGGGATGGAGTGTCTGGGGCTCCCAAGAGTTCCTGATCTGTTGGGCTGAGGAAGGGCTGGGGAGGTATCCTCCACCTGCCCTTTCTCCTGAGGAGACAGCTCCATCCAACCTTCACCCCTCTGGCACCCCTCCCACTGCTGGCAAGTTTTTCAAACTGCCACCTCTCTGCTTTGTCTCAGGACTGGGGAAGCATGCCTGCCCTCCACACTGGCTGGAGTCTCAGCCTCTCAGAGTGTTCCACCTGTCCCTGGTGTCCAGTCCTGCCAATCACTAGAACCCAATGTAATGTGGGCTCATGCTCCCAGAGCAGATATCCAGGGCCAGGTGTGCCATGCTCCTTGGCTCCTACCCCCTCTCCGCTCCATTCCCCTTTCTCCCACCTGTAGCCTAGGGTTGGGAGAGGGTTTGGGTCCTGCTCAGTCTTGGCTCAGCCACTTTACCCTTTTCTGTGTGGTCTTCTCTTCTTCCTCAGGTGTAGGTGGTCTGTTCTGCAGTCTTCAGGTCATATTCAAGTTTATTTATAGCTATTTGTTGTATTTGCTATATATTCTTCTTTTCTGTGTTTTTGGGAGGAGGTTTCTACCTTGCCTTCCTACTATGCTATCTTTTTCTGGAAGTCTCACAGCAAAACTTAAAAAAAAAACTAACAATATCAAGTGTTTGTGAGGATTTGGAGCAATTCATACACTGTTTTTTGGAATGTAAATTGGTAAAAACACTTCAGAAAAAGTATGGCATTGTTTACCAAAAGTGAACAGATATTTTCTCCATGACATAGAAATTCTTGTCTTCGGTATACACCCAACATAAACTCAGGTGTGTGCACACTAAGAGACATATATAAGAATGATCAAAGTAGCATTTTTCATAATCACCTCCAACTGGAAACACTCCCAATGTCTATTCAACAATACAATGGATAAACTGGTATAGTCATCTAATGAGTATAACAGAAGAGTGAAGACCAATGAATTACATTTACATTCTGCATTCTGGATGAGTCTCTCAAACATAATGTTGATCCAAAGAGATCATATTGCCAAATAATAAATACTGCAAGATTCAATTTATATAAAATTAATAAAATGAATATAAGTAAGTTACAGCTATTAAGAAGGTCATTACCTTTGGAAAGGAAGTGAGTAATAATTGAGATGGACTTCTGGGAACTGGGAATGTTCTCTTTCTTGATTGAGTGCTGGTTTTATCATGTTTTGTGTACTTTAATATTTTCATTTCCTATAAAAAGATTTAAAAAGAAGAGTGACATAAGAAGGAATAATACAAGTAGTACACGGATATGACAAAATTCATAATGGCTATAAATAAATTACATTTGGGCATTAACGGATTGGATGAGTCATGTACCTCTTGGTTTGATTTGAGATGCTAAATGATTGGCACAAGCAGAAACTCCTGTATAGCTAGTAAAGAAAAACAGAAGAGAGAAAGAGTGGAACTGAGGAGGGGCTAAGAGCATAAACTCTGCAGTTAAAATGCCTGGATTGGAATCCTTGCTCCACCACCTGTTGTCTCTCTGACCATAAACAAGTTACTTTATCTCTTTCCACTCAATTTCCACATCTGTAAAATGGGAATAATAATAGTACCTATTTCCATGCCTCTCTCCCTGCTCTGGCTGGGAATCCATGGCCTTCCTTGGCTCCTAGTTGCATCACTCAGATCTCTGCCTCCTTTCTGGTGTTCTCCTTGTGTGTGTATGTATGTGTGTGCATCTGTTTTCTCTTTTCAGAAGGACACCAGTCATACTGGATTAAAGACCCACCTTAATCACCTCATCTTAACTGATTACATCTGCTAAGGCGCTATTTCCAAGTTACACTATAGTTACCTCGGGTTAAGATTTCAACATATCCTATTGAGGAAAACAATCAACCCATAACAAGGAGAAAAGTTGAAAAAGTAATATAATAAATACCCATATAACCATCACTACATTCAATAATTGTTAACAGTTTGCCACTTTTTCTTTATGTGTCTCCTAAAATTAAAGTTATTCTCCTACATGACCACATGGACAGTTATGCCAGTAAAATTAACAATAATTCCCTAATATCAACTAATCAACAATTGCAGTAGATTGCAATATTGTTCAAGATTATTCACTTACCCTTTCCCTGTAAGAGGATAATATGTTCCTGCCCTATAAATTCTTACTTGATTATATTATACTGCTTTAACAAACATCATGTGAGCAGCAAGATGTACCCTACAGTGTAGAAGCTTTTTGAATCATTGCCTCGGTTTTGGAATGAGAAGATACACTGATAAGAACAGCTGTCTGGAGCATAGCTTCAGCCAACCAGGAGCCTGTGAGTGGCTTGAGCAAGAAATAAATCTTTGTTTTGTAAGCCACTAAATTTTAGGGCTGTTTGTAATTGCAGGCTTTCCTACTGAATTTAGACTATTTTAAAATATTTTTCAGCCTGGTTTGCAGTCCAGATTTCACATTGTATTTGGTTATTACATCTCTTAAATAAATATCTTTTATTCTTCAACAGTACCCTACCTTTTCCTTTTCCTTTTTCTTAATGAAATTTTCTTTTTAAGAAATCATGTTAATAATCTTATATAACATCTCACGTTGTTAATTTGTCTTATTATTTTCTCTTAGTGTGTTTTAACTCTTCCTCTAAGTGCTTATTGATCTTGGCTGCATATTAACATCACCTTGAAAGATTATACCAGTATGTATGTATTATCACCATACCATAAATAAGAGCCATCGTATCTTTTGATGCTCACAATAACTTCAAATAGGGAAGCAAGGGAGGAATTGGTGTCTCCACTTAACAAAGGTGAAATCTGAGGCTCAAAAGAGAAAAAAGAACTTAGGTAAGGTCACACAGCCAATAAGGCAGAACCAGGGCATAGACCCGTGATATTCCCATCCTTCCTTTCTTCCTGTTGCCTTGGAATTATTTTGAGGTATAGATAGAGAAGATATAGACATATATAGATAGATGTTTCTATGCATCCCTGGATGGATACACAAGAAACTGGTAATACTGATTGCCTGAAATAGAGTTAGGAATAAGTGAGCAACTTAGTTTGCACTACATTTTCTTGAGGATAAAAAAATAATAATATAAGTAGGTAATGAAGTCAAAATGAATTTCTAAATCATAAAACATACAAATATTAAGGTTTTACTGTTACTCTTACCAGCAACAAGAAGTCAAACACGGGGTCTTTGCTTAATTGTGGAAAGTTGAATAAGTTGATTTAGTATATCCAAATGTTGGAATAAGAGCCCATTTTTATTTTTAAAATCACAATTGGGAATATTTAATGACAGGAAAATACTCGAGATGAGTGGAAAGATTTAAATTGTATAGGTATATGATTAAAATTTTGTGTGTTCCCTGTGTAAATGTACAAAGAGAAAAGGGACTTGAAGGAATCCTCCACAGTGCTCTGAAGGGGAAAAGGGGAGACTGGAAGTATTAATTTTAATGTATTTCTCCGTATATTCCACATTTTCCACAAATTAATAAATGCTATTTAGTAAGAAAAAAAATCCTGATTAAACCTTCAAAGTTGGTCAGAAAATAATTTTTTAAAGCTTCTTCAGAGTGATTTGCTGTATAACGAGAGGAGCGAACAGAGGCACTGCGGGTACCAGGAACGGAAGAACGGATCCCCGCCCCCCAGGCCCGGAAGTGGATTAAGGACCACAAGGAAATGTGAGATGCCAACCTTCCCTACGGCTAGAGCGGCCAGAACAAGAGAGGAACTTCCGGGGCGTGGCTCGCTGGGTCTTTCTCTTCCGCGGGGCTAATGTGGGCCGTTTGCAACGTGAAGGTTCGCGATTGCTTGGCCGCCACTTCCGTCTCTCTGAGACGGTGCCTGAAATTGGGGGCGACTATGGCAAAAAGCAAGTTCGAGTACGTGCGGGACTTCGAGGCTGACGATACCTGCCTGGCCCACTGCTGGGTGGTGGTGCGGCTGGACGGCCGGAATTTCCATCGGTGAGCGATTTCGGCACGGGGCGCATAGTGTGCCAGCGCTTCCGGAGACGCTAACACTTTTTGTCACAGTCCGCTTGGGTACCGGGGTAACGTGACAGCCAATGAGCGCGCGGCGTTGGGCATCACCCTCCGTGCTGGCTGCCACTCAATAGAACGCGAGCTGGTCTGTAGTTAAGTGGGGCGGGGTGACCTAACTGCGGAGAAGCTGGCTTTGGGCGTCAATGGGCAGAGACTTGCTAACAAGACCCTGGTAGAAAAAGTCATTCTTGGCTCAGTATTTCAGCTCTTCTGTTATTTGCCCAGCTATTTTGTTAGTATCTCTGAGGACTGGCTTTTAAGACGCCTATTTAGGCCTCGCTGTGGGCAACACTTTACAGTATGTTTTCTCATTATCGTTAACTGACCACATGGACTGGATTCAGGAGGGGAAAAAGTCAGAAAAGGAGAAAATAATAACAGAAAAATGGGAATTTAATTCTTTAAAAAGTGCTACTTTAGTAATGATTATTGTTAACATTTATTGAGCCCTTTGAAGAAGTCAAACACAGTTACTTTTTTTTCATTATTTTTTTTATTTTGATATCATTAATCTACAATTACATGAAGAACATTATGTTTACTAGGCTCCCCCCTTCACCAAGTCCCCCCCGCATACCCCTTCACAGTCACTGTTCATCAGTGTAGTAAGATGCTGTAAAATCACTACTTGTCTTCTCTGTGTTTTACAGCCCTCCCGATGCCCCACGCACACTATACATGCTAATCGTAATGCCCCCTTTCTTCCCCACCCTTATCCCTCCCTTCCCACCCATCCTCCCCAGTCCCTTCCCCTTTAGTAACTAATAGTCCATTCTTGGGTTCTGTGATTCTGCTGCTGTTTTGTTCCTTCAGTTTTCCTTTGTTCTTATACTCCACATATGAGTGAAATCATTTGGTACTTGTCTTTCTCTGCCTGGCTTATTTCACTGAGCATAATACCCTGTAGCTCCATCCATGTTGTTGCGAATGATAGGATCTGTTTTTTGCTTATGGCTGAGTAACATTCCATTGTGTATATGTACCACATCTTCTTTATCCATTCATCTACTGATGGACATTTAGGTTACTTCCATATCTGGCTATTGTAAATAGTGCAACGATAAACAAAGGGGTGCATCTGTCTTTTTCAAACTGGAGTGCTGCATTCTTAGGGTAAATTCCCAGAAGTGAAATTCCTGGGTCAAATGGTATTTCTATTTTGAACATTTTGAGGAACCTCCATACTGCTTTCCACAATGGTTGAACTAATTTACATTCCCACCAGCAGTGTAGGAGGGTTCCCCTTTCTCCACAACCTCGCCAACATTTGTTGTTGTTTGTCTTTTCGATGATGGTGATCCTTACTGGTGTGAGGTGATATCTCATTGTGGTTTTAATTTGCATTTCTCTGATGACAAGCGATGTGGAGCATCTTTTCATGAAACACAGTTACTTTTATCTCCCTCGAATCTTCAGTGAAGTAAATATACTTTATCCCTATTTTACAGATAAGGGAATGTAGGCTTAGCAATTGTCTGTCTTTCTCAGTTGGTCCTAGCAAGAAAAACTAGCGTTCCTAAGGAAATGGATTGGCTTGTAGCTAGTAGAATGTTTGTATTCACAGCACAATTGCAGTATTTACCTCTTTGATCTGTAGTGTTAATGACAAGCTCTCTTCCATCCACGCCCTTTTCTCTCTCTTGTTCCCCATGAAGGTTTGCTGAGAAGCACAACTTTGCAAAACCTAATGACAGCCGTGCTCTCCACCTAATGACCAAATGTGCCCAGACTGTAATGGAAGAACTGGAGGATATTGTGATTGCATACGGACAGAGTGATGAGTACAGCTTTGTGTTCAAGCGAAAAAGCAATTGGTTTAAAAGAAGAGCCAGGTAATTCCATGGCCTAACTCCTTCAGAATATTTCCTTCCAGCATTTGGCTTCTGCTTTTCTTAACTGCATACTTGCAGACTGCAGATAGTGTCTGCAGTATTTGTAACTGCAAAGTGTATGTATTTTTCATGTTTATTCTGTTCTTGTTATTTGATTTGGCAGTGTATTGAAACTCTCACAGGAAACAAATCATATAATGAATTGGTACCTTTTAAAAATAATGGTTTCCTTCCTTCCAAGACAAAAAAAAGAAAAACACCCTCGATTCATAACTTCGCATCACATCCTACAGAGAAAAATTTGTTATTAGTAAATTACTTATGGGGCTGGAAGGAGGGGCAGGCTGCATTTCAAATTCATAACTGAAATGCTAAAATTACTTTTCTTGGCTCAGTACATTTTATCTCTTGACTTGCTAGACGGTTTGTGTAATCTCTCTGTCACACCCACAGGCCCTATCATGGTTTTGAATTAATATCATGTATTTTCTCTTTTCTTGCTCCACCCAATCTGCCTTATATTTGCAAGTAAGTTCATGACTCATGTGGCCTCCCAGTTTGCCTCCAGTTACGTCTTTTACTGGCGGGATTTCTTTGAGGACCAGCCTCTTCTGTATCCCCCAGGCTTTGATGGAAGAGTCGTGGTGTATCCTAGCAACCAGACCTTAAAGGACTACCTCAGCTGGCGACAAGCAGATTGTAAGTGAAAGCAAAACAGAGGTAGTTAAGCCACCAATTCCATACCTGGTAATCTGGTACAGATTTGGCTTATAAGTATTTTGTATGGAATGCATTATTTCAACTTTTTAAATTAGTTGAAAACAATTGAAAAATTGGGAGGTTTTATGTAAATACTTCCTATTTCCAGCTCTTTTTTTTTTTTTTTCAAAATATCAAAAGACCTGGCAGTACTGGGTCTACATTCCCACTGAGTACTGGACAGAACCTGTGCAGTGACTGCTGCCTTTACGTGTATGCATGCACACAGGACCAGGATGCCCCCACCTTCCTTAGGGGGTCATCTACTCTGCTTTACACTATTATGTTCATGGTGGCCTTAGTGAGTATTTGAGTCATCATCCCTGCCTTACTTGACTATTATGACATGTTTGTGAGACTTGGTATATCTTGATTTTGCCAGAAGAATGGGAAAAGAGGTAGGAATAATGTAAATGAAGTAACTTGGAAAATATTCCTAAGCTTAATGCACAAGTTAACAGATTTGTATAAAACCTAGCTGAAATGATAGAATAAAACTGGTAGGAAATGTTTGTTTCTCCTGACTACATAGCCCTGTGTTCCATGTTTGGTTTTAGGCAAATCACTAAAAGGCTGTGTGCTCTGTTTACTTTGAAGAGGGGAGTGGTGTGGGTTCAAGTATTCATGAAGTGTGAATATTGAATAAAAATTATGTATGTATAAATTGTGCTACTCTATTCTCTTCACAGGTCATATCAATAATCTTTATAATACAGTTTTCTGGGCACTTGTACAACAGTCTGGACTAACACCAGCACAAGCCCAAGGGAGATTACAGGTATAAAGATCTTACTGTGTTAATACTTAACTAGGGCAATTTTCTATATGTTTTCCTGTGACATTTTGCATTCTTGTTCAGTTGTGTTTATAGCTTGTTTTGAAGGGATATAAAGATCATATTAGTAGCAGCTCTGCTGCTTGCTTGTTCTGTGATCCTGGATGAGTTAACTACTTCTCCTTGAGCATGGTAGATATGGAATTAATAACACTGGCTGTACATTGCCCTGTGGTGATTCTTGTCTAGAGGTATGTGTTGGCTGTCCTCTTTAAACAGAGCATGTGCTTTCCTTTTTGTCAGTCCTACCTGGCCTCCTCATCATTGCCATTGCCTGCTAGGGGCCTGTAATTTCTCAGGTTTATGACCCACGTGTATTCTTGAGAGTCTAGGCTCTGGGAGCCAAATAATTGTACTCAGGTGCCTCTGTTTAATCTTAACCCTCTGCCTTAGTTCTTTATAGGTAAAATGTGGAAAATAACCATCTCTACCTCATAGGTTTATGGTGAGAAATGCTATAATGCATGTAAAACACATAGGATAGTACAAAGCATATTTTAAGTACTTAATAACTACTGGTCTTTGTTATTAGATAGCAGTGCTACTTGTAGGACAACTAATTCTGAAGTGAAATGATGTAACAGTTCCTAATACAATGCCTGGCACATTTTAATTACTCAGTAAATGGTTCATTATTAAAAATAATAATGAAGATTTATATATAGCATAGGAATACTGGTAGATCTATCTACAGTTTGGAAGAGCCAAGTTTAGATTTAATTCTTACAAGAGTAAGAGCAACCTTTAGTCTTGTGTAATTTCTTTAATCTTGCTAAGCTTCGGAGTTCTCATCTCCAAAATGGAGATGGTTATGAGGGTCAAATAAGGTAATATACATAAAGTATCTAGTACCGAATACGTAGTGTTACTATTAGTTCCTGTCACACTATCACAGTTTTGACTTGTGAAGCCAGTTGTGCACTACAAAAGAGAATTTTAAGAATTTAGACATCTAAATAAGTTTGAACTGCTCTTATAATACAAAGTCGTTAATATCAAAAGATGCATGGAAAAAACCCTTCTACTACTTGATTTCTTTGTGGAAGTTTATGTAGAGGGTGGAAGAGGATTATGGGAGGGAGAAGACATAAAAAGCTTTATTTCTGTTTTTATTTCCTTAGGGAACTCTTGCAGCAGACAAGAATGAGATTTTATTTTCTGAATTCAGCATCAACTACAATAATGAACCACTGATGTACAGGAAGGGGACTGTGTTGATATGGCAGAAGGTAATACTGTTGTGTGACAGAAAACTGGAGGTAACAAATAAGAGAACTTTTGCCCATCCCAAGCTTTGTCCTGCCTGCTGCCTGTAGGGTGATGTGACTCAAGTTACCAACATGAATTAGATCCTTTCCAAAATGAGATGCTATGGGTTACTATGAATGCTTTTTTGGTCAGTCAGTGCTCATTTTGTCAGTTTGTCAGTGAACTTTATGGTCTGGCATTTCCCCTTCTGTAAGTAGAATCATGGAATTTTAGAATTAGTTCACTTATTTTTGTATCATAAGCCCTCCCTGAATCAAATCCCTGTTAAAGGATTATCTACAGTGCAGATAAAGGATTTTGCATCAATAGAGCAGTTACATAATACTTTCTCTCATGCAGGATAAACCATTACATAGTCCATCCATCCCATGACAAATACAACATGAGGCACTAAGAGATGTTGTAGATGAGGCTTCTTTCACTTCCAGAGTGTTCTTGGAATTCCTCAGATGCTCCAGACATTCATACTTACCTAAATATTCTGTAATAAGTTTGTACATTCACCTGCATTTTTCTGTGAATATTTTCTCTCTGTACCAGCTCCTGAGCATAATTCTCCTAAATTCATTTCCTTCCGTGTAAAGTAGTTTTTTCTGAAATGAATGTTTTCAGGCACTAAGGGGTACCTTGAGAACTAGTCACCCACTGGCAACTTTTGTTAGTATTTTTAAAACACATCTGTTCTTTGGAACAGACTTGGATTTTGCTAAACGCAGATGGCAGAGCAAAAATATCTTTAATGCTACTGTTACTGCAAACATGGAATGTGGAATCTCTCCTTTTGTTCCTAAAGTCTTTCAGAATATAGCATCATATCTTTTTAAAAAGGATTTTTCATTGTTGAATTCATGTATGTTGATAGATGTGTCTGTATGTCTTCCTGATAAATATTAGTCAGAAGTAAATGAAGAAGTAAACTTCCCTCACATCTCTCTCTTCTCTCCCAAACCCACTCTCCAGCTAACAACGTCAATATTTTAACTTGTACCTATAGGTGGGTGAAGTCACAACAAAAGAAGTTAAGCTGCCAGCAGAAATGGAAGGAAAAAAGGTTGCAGTGACCCGGACCAAGTCTAAACCAGTGCCCTTGTACTGTGATATCATCGGGGATGCCTTCTGGAAGGAACATCCGGAGATCCTAGAGGAAGACAGCTGACCCTTTGCTTTTCGTTCCTGGCATGCTTAACCATGCAAGATCTCCCAAGTCTTCTAGCCTCAGGTGGCCCTAGCATCCCTAACCACCCAGTACAGTGTGTCGGGAGTGACATGACTCTGGCTGGGAGGGGAATGGGGAAGGAAGGGATGGATGGGAGTGGTGTATTTTGTTCTGCTTTTAAGTAGAACACCTTTTGTTGGCCCTGTTGGAACATAGTTCCTTCAATACAAGTGCATTTTTTTTAAATTGTGCTATTTTTATAAAGCAAGAACTATTTTATACCTTGTAGAATGAATCATTTTTAGATTGTGGCATAAGTCTTATAAAAACCTCTCAAGCTCTTTTCATCTATGATAGAAGAGGAGGCCAAACTTTGCCCTCACCCACCTGTTCTTAACTATAGACTACCCTTGAAAAGCTCACCTTTCCACCCATGTACTTGCCTTCATCTTTGACTTAGAGGTAAATATGGGTTGATGGCTGCATGGTTCCTCTAGATTCAGGAATTTCAGGGAAAACTCAGGGCTTTGTCCTAATCTCCAAGTTGGCAACTTTGGCTGAACAAATGATTAGTGGTTTGGATGTCCTTGGGTAAACATTCCAAAGATTTTGTGGAGTTGTCAGCATGATCATCATCTGCAAGAGGCATTATTTTCAAGGTCACTTACCCCTTTCTAAAGAGCATTGTGTATATATGAGAGAAAGTAGACATATATGAGAATGAAGGAGGGAGAAACATTTACTTCCTGTCTTCTAGTTAGTTCAGTTTTGAAGTCACCGTGCTGGTGGACTTTCAGAAAAAGATTCTCATGTAGCCTGTGTATAATTAGAACACTAACATTTGAGTTGGAGAGCAGAGGGGTCAACACTGCCCTTGGGCTCACAGTGAGCAGGTGCTGAAGGAGTTCTGGTAGTCTACCTGCTGATGGGCTTTGGAGATCTGTGAGCAGTGGGGAACAGCAACGGTAACTACAAGCTACTGGTTTCTGAAATGGAGAGGTGGGGGTAGGTGGTAAGAAAATTCACATTGCCTCTTGTCCTCATTTCATGTTTTAGAGAAAAAAGATTATTTAGCTCTATTAAGAATTAGAAAGCCTACATTTCAGTGCATGGTCTTGCATTGCAGAATTTACAGTCAAGAAAATGTGTTTTTGAAAGAGTGACTTTTGAAAGAATTGAAAAAATAATCCCTAATTAACAATCCATCTGTTGGAATAATTTTTTCCTCTTCCTGTTTTCACTCCACAGGAATAGAAGATAATGGTTCACATTTCATAATTAGTAAAATCTTTTTGAAAAAAAAGTTTTACTTCCTTGACCTAATCTTCATTTATTTTTCTTATAGAAGTGCAACATGTGAATCAAACTGTGTATGTCCTCACATCAACCAGGATACACATACCTTTATCACACAGTGGTTCACAGACTTCTAGTTTTAAAAAATTGCTTGGAATGCTTGTTTTAGGCATTCCAAAGCCCATTCCAAAGTTCCTCCCCTTGTCCCCATTGAAGATTTAGGGTTGGGTAATCTGATTTTAACTCAAGGCTTCGGATGCCTATGGTAGATGATACACGATACTTTATGTAAGTCGGTAAGATAATGGTAGCTCTTGATCGGCAAATGGAACTTAATGGTAAGTAAATTTATTACCTATTATGTCAAATATAACACATTAAAAGTTTCCATTACATAAAATTACAAAAGTAATTCTTAAAAGGTTTTCAAGACTCCACCACCCAAAGAAATGTCCATTCTGTAGGTGCCATGTGATACTACAAAGGCTGTCACTCAACTTTGTCATAAGATACGGGGACAAGCACTTAACTCATTGAGTTGCCAGCAATTTGCAGCTTTTTTTGTTCTGGCAGGGAGGTTGGAGCAAAGAACTATTCCTGGGTTTAATATTCATGCAGTAACTAAACCTGTAGTGCTTTTAGAAACTCCTGTTTGATGGTTTTGCTATCTTTTTTGCAGCATGTGCTCATTCCAATGTATATTTCATACTTGTATATTAATTTTCATCTTGCTAAGAGAATAGTATTCTCTTTGGCTTCCTCTCCAAAGCTGAAAAAAATTAGATTATACACAAAAGCGGCTAGTATAGCATTAATAATAGTTGAGAGCAGTTTGGGAGAGTGGTGGCTGTTAATGAGATTTGTGTGGCCTTTAGGTGCCTGGAAACATCTAGGCTCTGCTGGACAGAGGGGTAATATCTGAGTCTTTGGTGTAGGTGATCACTTTAATATCAAAAGGCAAAAAAGTTTTGAACAAAAGCTGTAAAGGAGCAAGTGGTACAGTCGGGTCTTACAAATCCTTCATCCTGGTTTCCTCCAAACGTTTATGCAATGCTTGGAAAATCAGTGATACAACGAATATTCTTAAAACTAAATAAGAATACTAAAGTATCTCTGCTGTTGGTGCAAATTACTTGTTGCATGCGGTGTAGGAAATGGAGGACATGGAACCACCCATCCTTCATAGTGTCCTTGTCCACTTAATCGGTTTTGGCTAATACTCATAGAGCATTTATGTACTCTATATGCAAAATCACTTCATTCTTTGGACAATTTTAGGAGGTATGAACTATATCACATTTCAGATGAGAATGTAAAGATCCAGAGAAGCTAAATGATTTGAGCCCAGGTAGGCTGTCCTAGTGGTACTCTACAGGAAAGCAGGTTGGCGCCTTCGTCGCCCTCTTCCCCCGCCCCTTCCCACCAGCTCAAGCTAGCGGAGCGAAATTCCCCGGAGCAGAGAGCCGCTCCTGTAGTGCTTTTAGAAACTCCTGTTTGATGGTTTTGCTATCTTTTTTGCAGCATGTGCTCATTCCAATGTATATTTCATACTTGTATATTAATTTTCATCTTGCTAAGAGAATAGTATTCTCTTTGGCTTCCTCTCCAAAGCTGAAAAAAATTAGATTATACACAAAAGCGGCTAGTATAGCATTAATAATAGTTGAGAGCAGTTTGGGAGAGTGGTGGCTGTTAATGAGATTTGTGTGGCCTTTAGGTGCCTGGAAACATCTAGGCTCTGCTGGACAGAGGGGTAATATCTGAGTCTTTGGTGTAGGTGATCACTTTAATATCAAAAGGCAAAAAAGTTTTGAACAAAAGCTGTAAAGTAGCAAGTGGTACAGTCGGGTCTTACAAATCCTTCATCCTGGTTTCCTCCAAACGTTTATGCAATGCTTGGAAAATCAGTGATACAACGAATATTCTTAAAACTAAATAAGAATACTAAAGTCTCTCTGCTGTTGGTGCAAATTACTTGTTGCATGCGGTGTAGGAAATGGAGGACATGGAACCACCCATCCTTCATAGTGTCCTTGTCCACTTAATCGGTTTTGGCTAATACTCATAGAGCATTTATGTACTCTATATGCAAAATCACTTCATTCTTTGGACAATTTTAGGAGGTATGAACTATATCACATTTCAGATGAGAATGTAAAGATCCAGAGAAGCTAAATGATTTGAGCCCAGGTAGGCTGTCCTAGTGGTACTCTACAGGAAAGCAGGTTGGCGCCTTCGTCGCCCTCTTCCCCCGCCCCTTCCCACCAGCTCAAGCTAGCGGAGCGAAATTCCCCGGAGCAGAGAGCCGCCTGGAGAGCTTGTCAAAATGCCGGGCCCGGACTCCATCCCCGGGGAATCTGGAGTATTAGCAAACTCCTTAAGTGATAATGATATAGATGGGGAAACACTGCATTCGAGCAGATTAACCTGTCACCTAAGCGCTGAGGAGATGGGGCGCCCGACGGGTCTGAGCAGCTCGCCGCGCCCTGGGGCTGTGCTGAGCTTGGGCAGATGCTGCCCTCCGGCGGCCGCGCCGGCGCAGTGCGACCCCGCTTTGCGGCTGCGCAGTGCCGCCCTCTGGCGGCCCCACTCCTTCTTCCCATCGGCCTCGGCTTGCGGGCCTTTCAAACATGGAGGAGCGGGAGCCGGGGGCGAGGTCGGCTCGCGCCGGCAGCCCGGCACGCCCGCCCAGCCCGCGGCTGGACGTCAGTTCTGACAGCTTCGACCCGCTGCTGGCCCTGTACGCGCCGCGCTTGCCTCCCATCCCCTACCCCAACGCGCCCTGCTTCAACAACCTGGCCGAGTACGAGAGCTTCCTCAGGACCGGGGTCCGGGGCGGCGGGCGCGGCCGCGCGCGGGGCGCTGGCGCGGGGACCCCTGCTGCGGCCGCAGGGCCCTCCGGCAGGACCCGCCGCCGCCCAGATGCGTCCGCCCCGGACCCCGAGCGCATCCAGCGCCTCCGCCGCCTTATGGTAGCCAAAGAGGAAGGGGACGGGGACGCCGGGGCGCGCCGGCGGGGTCCGGGTCGGAGCAGGAAGGCACCGCGCAACGTGCTCACGCGAATGCCCCGTGAGTCCTGCAGGACGGGCGAGGGACCGGGATAGGGCGGCTGTCCGGAAGGTGCCGGCCGGGGGGCGTTTGCAGGGTGACCGGGGCTAGGCGCGTATCAGGGGAAAGGTCTTGGTAAACGGTGCGAGATAATCGGCGACCGTCTTGAGTTGCAAAGGGCTGTAAGGAGGGTCGTCTCGAGCAGTGAAGGGCCTGAGTGGTAGTTGGGGAAGAGTGGCAAGGCTGTGGAGGGACGGCTGTCAGGAGCTACGGGAGGCGTCTGCGTGGGGAACGGGTGTAGGAGGTCTGCAAAGCTAATGGGGTCCGTGGAAGTGGCTGCAGAGGTGCTAAACCTGCAGAGAGGATGTGCAGGAGTGACAGGGCGTGTGGAGAGGTGGGGAGTCTTGGAAACGGGACATGATAGGGAGTGTCTGCAGAGGTGATGAGACGTGTTGGGGACCAGAGACAGAAGGGAGGGTCACAGACAGTATTCAGGAAAGGAGAGTATTTCGTTAATATTTGGGGATGATGGAATGGATTGTGGGGAGATTTGGTCAGACAGCACAGGGGGAGTACTTTAATAGCCCGTGCCGTACCTCATTCTCATTCTCAGGTGCTAGAAACAGGAGAAGTGCCGCAGGGTCTTGATACACATATGTTCACATTACCAAATCACAAGTGCTGGAATGCAGCAAGCGCAAAATGCCACTGAAACACAGACACTGGTTTACAGCCTCTGCCAGGATAGGTGCAGGACTGTGTCTGTCAGGCTCCTGTTATCAGATGCACAGGTTATTTTAAGTTCTTAAGGTGTAAATGGCTCAAGGGAATTTCTTGGAGCCTCCTAACAGATCCTTAAAGTAAAGCTGTAACCAGCAGAGGTTGCTAATGTGTGAGTTAGGCCTTCTACAAATGAAATAAAAACAGCCCAGGGTTATCTTTTGTTATCTGGCAAGCAGCTCTGACATCTGCCCTGTGAACATAATGACCTACTTAGGCATTCAAAGCATCTGTACCCTGATAGCTAAATTATAACATTATTAAATTACTGCCTTTGGAATGGAGGATTGTGCTGAGCAAGGGGATATTTTGTTTCATTCCTAGAAATGTGTTTTATTAAGAGAGAAACATCCTGAAAAGCTGTGTGTTATTAGGGGTGCCTTTGTCAGATGACTTACTGAGCTAGAGCATCTCTGCCCACTTGGGTGCACCCCAGACTGCCTGCCCATCTATGATACAAAGAGAGTATGCATGTTCCTAAAGAGAAGTTTGGAGGACCTTATTTTACCTGGACTTTTTGCCATTATCAGATCTGTGAAATGTACCCAGAGTCTCAGATTGTAACATTTCTGTTTTGCCAGTTACTGCTTGATACCAAGATGGTGGAGACATATTTCTGTGTGGTGGGGGATTTTAGCTTTACCTATGGAGCGCTTTACTACCAGCTTTGTTGGCTTTCCACAATTAAATACATAACTGGAATCAAGATCTCAGAATAAGCCCTACGCACTGAAAATTTTAATCATGCCACTGTAAACAGTTGGTGTACGTGATAGAGATGAGTAGACATCACAAAGAGTTGATGATCTTCAGAAAGCAAAAAAAGTACAGAAGAATGGGTGATGATTAATTTTATTCAAGAAAAAGTTTCTACAAGAGATCAACTAAACTTAGGTCTTAATGTAGGAAGGGCATGGTTAAGGATAATAGTAATTTAATTTAAAATCAGTCTATTGAGGTATAGTTTACAAATAGCAACATTCACCCTTTTTAAATGAGTTTTAACAAATTTATAGTTGTGAAATCACCAGTCAAGATACTGAAAAAAATCCATCACCCCAAAGTTTCCTCATGCCCCTTTGTAAGTCAAGTGATAGTTTTATTGTTGCTGATTGTAAGTACCATTATTAAGTGTGTGTTGTACAGTTTGCTAAGCCTTTTAGATGCATTAGACTTCATTTTACCCTTAGGCACTGCTTTATAAATGAGGAAACAATCTTATTGAGGTTAAGAACTTGCCCATGGTCACATACTAGCTAGTTTGCAACTCACACTTAATGTTGGGTTTACCAGCTACAGGGCCTATGTGCTTAACCATTATGCTTGTCAGAGAGGGAGGAGGAGATATGATGCATTCTAATGTTGCTTGCTTTTTTTTTTTTTTTGGTGGGTGGAGGGTGCCACATATGTGAGGCAGAGGGTGTGTGTCTAGAGCAATGAGAACTGAACTTGAGTCCAGAGAGGGATTTATTAGAATGCTTTGAAGACCCAATCAGAGATTTTCTGTTTGACTTTGTCACGGCAGAGACTAGAAACCATGGTGTATATTTCAGATAAAGCACTTCTGGGCAAATGTTTCTAATAGCTAAGTCTCTAGCAATAAATTGTAAATAAGGAGGTAGAGTACAGCACAGGCTCAGGGGTTCGCCCACTGGCCTATTTTTGTTTTAAAAATTGCCTCCTCCACTTTCTAGCTGTTTTACTTTAGGCAGGTTACTTAAAGTCTTTGGGGTCTGTTCAGCTGTAAAGTGTATCTACCTACAGTTGTGAGGTTTAACTTAGTTAACCCATGCAAAGCGTTAACAACATTTAAGTTCCCTAGCACATAGGGAAATTCTCAGTGAAGGTTGAATGTCACTTACTGTTGTAAGTTGTTATGCATTATTATTTTTAGGCTGTCATAATTAAAAGCCCCAGGTCACGAACTGTATTGAATGTTGGCTCAGCTGTTTACTAGGCAAATAACCTTGAGCAAATTCTTTAAACCTTTCTGAACCTCAGTTTTCTCATCTATAAGATGGGGTGAAATAATAGCATCTATGTGTTAGAGTTGTAAGGATTTAAAAACTTATGAACATAAAGTTAAACTTATGACAGGGCTGGGCTCATAGTGAGGGCTTAGTAACTGATGATGTGATGATGACGATGGTATTGTTGATGTGAGAGGGGAAAGTGGGAGACTGCCGAGTAAACCAGTCACCAGATAAGGCTTTGGATTGGGCTGTTGGTTGCAGAAAGAAGAAGGAAAGGGCAGGTCCTATTTACTGAGAATCTTCTATGTGAACTTAGTGATGGCCGCAGCAGGGAGAAGTGAGAGTGGAGTTTAGAAGGCCTGGATTTGGAAGGGTGGAAGGGTGTGACCCAGGAATAATGGCAATGGAGAAGGGGATTTGGCTTTTGGCTTTTTTTTTTTTTCTCATCATATTAAGTTTAGAAGCCTGGCTTACATATCATTTGGAGTTTGTCACAGAGGCAGCCAGGATTCAGAATGTGCATTCTGATTCAGAATATGGAGCTCATTTTTGCCTTAACAGTTTGCTCTGATAGGTGGTGCTAGTGTTGTATTTTTGATCATTCAAGGAAAGAAATTCTTCCTAGAATCATATCTTATTTAATCTTTGGAAGAAAAAAAAATTAAAGAGAAAGGTACAGATGTGAGAGTTGAAAGACCTGAGTTTGCCATTTATTTAACTAGAATAAGACACTTCTGTTAAGATGTTTGCTTGTCCTTCCTCTCTACTTTGAAGGTGCAGGGGGAGAAGTTGTACCCCTCTATTTTTCAAGTTAGAAAAAAAAATGGTCTTTCCACTGTTTGTGTAAACACATATATGGGGGCTGGGGACAGTGACTGTGTATAGACAAAGGGATTAATTCAGGCCTCATGATCAGTTTCTAAGAAATTGAATTACAAAGACTTTTTCCTGAAATGAATCTAAGTTAACTAGTCTAACCTCATTTTATGAATGAGGGAACTTGGACTTGTACAGAACAAGTTACTCAAAGGTCCAAAGAATTCTAAGTTATTGCTGGAGGAAGAGCAAGTGATGAAAGTCAGACCAAGATTCTCATGTTCCTTTCCAAAGCCACTGTTTCTGCCATGTGGCCTCCAACTGTGCCTTCTTGCTGAATCTTCAGTCTGACATAGGCTCCTACTTCTCATCTGCTAAGTCATTTTGTTCCAAGAGTATTTTCTTTTATTAATTTGTCAATGACATCATTTATAAGCCAACCCATGAGTGAGGGATAAGGAGGTCAAGAGTAACCAGCATAGTTTTCCAAACTGAATTGCAGGGCTGTTTTTCTCTTTTATACCACTGGAAACAAAACAGATTTTTTGTTTGTTTACTATCAGTGGTAATAACCTCCAAAGAATTTTACCTTGCAAACTTGGGAGGGAAAAGACTGAGACTCCTTATTCATGAATGTGAGAGTGTGTATGATATTCCTTTGGGAGGTTTTATGTAGTATTGTCTTCATATTCTGAAGGCTAGATTGACATGAAATAATAAAAATAAAATTCATCCCTGCTCCCAAGCTTTGAAAAAAAAAAAAGTCCACCACAGTAAAAGCTGCAGTTTATAGTCTAAGCATTCTTCTCATGAATGATCATAGTGCTCTTTTTACGTGATGCTTATCAGTAGTCTCATAGGAGCCAGATGCTCAGCAGGTTCCTCTATACCATCAAGGCTTGGAATACCACCAGACCTCTTCCTCCTGGTGTAAAGATGATGTACACGAAACACTCATGGCCCCAGAGAGCTCGTGCATGGAGTACTTTAGACTGTGGGGGCCAAAAGGATATTCTTTTCTAGAGGATTGCACATGTTTCAGGGCAATTGTGTTACACAGTTTGTTTCTTTTTAACATATGAACAAAGTTTTTGCTATTTTGGAAGACTAGAGCTGAATATGTGGCACATGAGAATTAACTTGAAAAAGGTTGTCTTAACAAGGTGCAGAACTGTGAAGAATCTAGCTGTTAATGTGTACATTTAATGTGCTTTTTTTTTTTTGGCCCCAGAAAGTTTTTAAATAAATGACACCTTAAAATCAATGATATCATAGAATATAGGATATACAAATAGTGAAGCATATCGATGATAGCCACACACATGGCTTATCCACATTCTGGTGGGGTCTTATTTCATCTCAGTGTGTTGCCTTAATTAGCTGCGTTGCCCATTGGACCCTCCTGTTGCACAGCAAGGTTGCCGCTATGCTGTGTTGCCTTGTGTCGCTGGAGATGGTTGGGTGGTCTCGGTTGTTGATTCTGGGAATGAGAACATGTATTCATGCCATGCTGACTTCTTCTCTTGTTTCAGTTCATGAAGGCAGCCCTTTAGGTGAACTCCATCGTTGCATCCGGGAAGGAGTGAAAGTGAATGTTCACATCCGAACTTTCAAGGGACTTCGGGGTGTATGTACAGGCTTCCTCGTTGCATTTGACAAGTTCTGGAATATGGTAATTAAGCCTTTCTCAAGGGACTGGAGAACCTCCTAGGGATTAAATCTTTTTATATGTCTAAATGACCTGGGTAACCTTATTTAGAAAAACCTGAAGAATAACTTCCCTGAAGTACTTGAATTATTGCATTCTCTTGGCCAACAACAAAAAGTTATTTTTATTGCTTCCTTTTCCTTAAGGCAGTGGTTTTCACAAAGGGTGATTTTGCCCTCCCCTCCCTGCCAGGGACATTTGGCAATGTCTGGGGTAATTTTTTGACTGTTACAGCTGTGGGACAGGGTGCTACTGGTATCTACTGGGTAGAAGCCAGAGATACTGCTGCACATCCTACAATACACAGGACAGCCTTCCAACAAGAAAGAATTATCTAGTCCACAATGTCATGAGTGCTGTGGTTGGGAAACCCAGCCTTAACAAATAACTATTTCATCTGTTTCATAATTTCATATGATTTTCTACCAGCCATTCTTTCATTCATTGAAAAATATTGTTGACTTCCCACTTTGGCTGGGCACAGTGCTAGGTACAGAAATTTCAACACTCACACTCTCCAGTATTTGGGAAGATAGATAAGGATAATGGAGAAGTGGGCACTTTGCACGGTGTTCGTTATGAAGGCTGTACTACATGTCTCCCCTTCTAGAGGCTTATTGTCTGTTTACTAGACACTTGTAGGAGAGAAGGGAAATATTATAACACAATTATAATTTAAGGCAGTTAAAATAGGAACACCAGGGCCTTCTAGTGTTTCTTCTGCATATGTCTTCCATCTCAAACTTTTCTTTCCTCTGTGTTTTACCCCCATCAATACATTTTCCTGGAAAATAATAATAGTTGCTAACATTTATTAAGCACTTACTATGTGCCATATACTGTACTAAGAGCTTTATATATATTATCTCAATGAATGAGCTGCTCCATTTCACAAATGAAGAAACTGGGACTAGAGATGTTGAAGTCCGGGCCCAGACACACAGTCGGCTAGCAGAGCACTAGAGCTTCGTGCGGGTTTTCAGGTCTCTCTGACTCCTCAGACCACATTGTGGTATTCCCATCATTATGGAATCAGAAGACCCAGATTTCAATCCTAGCTTTACCTCTTGGTAGCTGTGTGACTCTAGGTAAGGTAATTTCTCTGAGGCTCAGTTTTCTCATCTCTAAAATGTAGGAAAAAATATTTTGCTATTATAATTTTACCTTTGAATGAAATGAATTTAGGAGAACATATTTGATTATGGTGTGGTAATAATAATGCTGTCAGCTTATATTTGTAGGGTGATTTATACTTTTCAAACTAATTTGATACACAATCTTACTTGATCCCAGTGGCTATCCTAGGTTGATCTCTTAGTGACAGGAGTTCACCAGTAATTCTTGTGTAACTCTAGTTAATATCTATTATTTGCTATCATAAGACATAAAATACTTCCTGAGGAAGGGAAAGAAGAAGTAGGATAGTGTTTCTCAGATACGGTCTAAGGACATACTGCACCAGAGTCATGGGGTTTCTGGTTAAAAAGAAGGTTGCTGGGCATCATCCCAAACCTACTGAGGCAGAATCTCAAGGAAGTAGCTGTGGATTTATATTTTAATGAGCTTCCTAGATATATATGAACACTGAAAGTTAAGAACGTCTACCATGTATTTGTAAAAGCCCCTTATTATAAAAGAAACCCATCCTATAAGGTGGTAGCAGGTTGGAAATCCTATTCAAAGGGTGCCAAGTATTACCATTTTTTCTGTCCAAGAGCTGAGTCACCTGTTTAGTTTTGCTACAATTAGATAGTATTCTGCTTTTTAAATTTTTCCCTGAAAGCTGTAAAAAGCTGTATTTTTAATTCTGCCTTACTGTTTCTCTAGGCACTTACTGATGTGGATGAGACCTACCGAAAACCTGTTTTAGGCAAAGCATACGAACGGGATTCTTCATTGACTCTTACTAAGGTAGACCGTTCCCCCTGATGTACCAAGAACCCAGCATGCTTCCAAGCTTAGGCATGGAGGTCACTGAGCCTGGTGACCAGTGCTTCCTAGTGGGAAAGCCCTCTTGCTCTCAACCATGTGTGCCTGGACCAGTGTCTTCACTAGTCTTCCTTCTCATGCATCCAGCTAATTGCTGAGAGTCTGTGCTGCTGACCTGCATATTATTTGAGCAACAGGTTTCCTCTTGTAAGTCTTTAGAACTTTTTCTGTTATACACCATAGAAATAGAAAATTCACTATAGCTTTTTAAAATTGCAAAGCAAGGAGTCCACAGAGCATAATTAAGGAATCTTGTACTTTCTCTGTATATTAGAAAGGGGTTGCTGTAGACTAAAGAGAAAACTAATATTTGTCATTACTTTGCCTATAGCTATTTGACCGACTAAAGCTTCAGGATTCCTCCAAGAAGGAAACAGATTCAAAGTCTGCAGTTGAAGACTCCACTCTGTCCAGATACTCCCAGACATCCACTTGGAAGGTGGCCTCAGTGTGGGGAAGAGGAGACACTGACCGGGGCTCCCGCAAGCGTTCCCGTTCCGTCCCGTCTTCCCTGCAGGCATCTGCAAGGGAGGAGTCCAAGTCAGAGCTGTCAGGGAGGACGACACGGACAGAAGGGTCAAGTGCTGGAGGTACCTTTTCCAGGGCTACCACCCTTTCCAGGGGACAGCCCTGCAAAAAAAAGCGAAGGCCTAAAGTTGATTACCAGCAGGTATTCACTCGACATATAAATCAGATTTTCATTCGAGGCGAGAATGTCCTGCTGGTTCATCTTGCACAGTGACCATCTCTGCCTCACATGAGCATTGGTTTTTAGAAATAAAATGCATGAATTGCTGCTATACTGTATCCTAGTATCCCAGGAAAACTCTGAGTTGAAATGTGTCCCTCTGGTCCTGCATGTGCAGAGCATAGAGCCAGGCTCGGGCCCTTGGAGAGATGAGCTCCCTCAAGGGGACATAGGCCTTGGGAGGTTAGATGTTGCCTTAATATCCAGGTAAAAGCTGTGCAGAGGTATAGGCATCTGACTTGGTATCGTGGCCTGACTACTTCAGATACTCAAACCAAATATAAGATCTTCCATTTGAATTAGGAGTCATGGTGAACTGGTTGAGTTCATGAACTGAATTCACTCCATAGAGACTTATAGGATGAGGGAACAACACCTCAAAAAAGAATGATCTCATTTCTAAAAGCTAGTGTTACAAGTACTCATGAATTTGAGTCTAAGAGTAGCAGCATAAATTGTGCCAGAGCCAGCACCCACAGCTTGTAACTGACCTTTGAATTTTGCTCTACACCATTCTCTCTTGTTCAAGAAATATAATTTATTATCTTTGAATATCTGTAAGACTAAGAAAGCTACCAGATTATGTAAGAGTGTATTTAGGTAGGTGGTACTGTCAAAGCAGCCAGCAATGAATGCTCTGTTTTATCCCTCACTTTATTATGGAAAGTTCTGTGGGGCCTCATCAGTCTTCCCCTTACCAGAGGTAGCTTCTGAGAATGGCTCACCACATGGGACTATAAGGTGCTCACGTGGTGGCCTCTCGTCCTTTTCTGTCACTTCCATGGCCTGATGCTAATGCATGTGCCCTGTGTATTGTCCCTCTTTATGTAGTGTGACCTGTTCTATGAACGTTATGGCAGGAGACTGTGACCTTGACGTCTGGCTTCAAAGAGTTCTGCTTGAACTCAATAATATAAATGTATCACATGTCTGAGAGTCCTTTCCAGGCATGGCTGGCCTGTATAGAATAGTTTTCAGAATGGTTTTGCCATGAAAAAGGGGTGGTACTTTTATTCCCTTGTGTCAGGCCACAGAGGTTCTCACAAAGTACTTGTATATATAAAGGACACTTAACTCACATTCTGATTTGAGTGACAAGACATCATAGCACCCTTTAATACTTATACTTGAATCATATTATATGCTTTTTCAATTAGCAGTGCAGAGTAGGTGCTACATCTCGACACAGACTGTTAGGCAATATTGATTTTTTGTTTCATTTATATTTGTATTGTTTTGGATACCTTATGTTCAAAGTGAGAATAAGAAATAACTAACTAGTTAAAATGTTTTGAAAAGAAGACCTTCCTCTGCTGTGTTTGTTGTGTAACTCAGCTAAGCCTGTTGAGAAGTAGGGTGAACAGAGTTTAGGAAGCTAGGGCACCTCATCCTTCGGCGGGGCTACTGGCTCATCACACAGTGAAAGGAGAGCAGGCTCAACTTCTCTGTGCTTCACGTTTTCCCCAGCAGACACCTACCTCACAGGGGCACTGAGACAAAGAATTTTAGGAAGACATTTAGAAGTCTCTAAATGTATTTAAAGTGCCATGAGTAATTGTTACAGACTCTGTATCACAGCTTGGTTAGAGTTCTATGTCTTATGAGCAAGGCAGGTACTACATAAGAAAATAATCTCTGTGGGTGTCAGAATTATGATCTTGTCATCAGAAGGCAGTGATAGCTTCAGGAACTGTTTTCCGTATTCTCTTCCTTTCTCCTAAGGGACAGTGGAAGTTCTCAAAGAATATCTTCAGTAAAAAAAAGTAACATTGCTGCTTCCCCCATCTCCCAGCCCCAGAACCCTTTTCTGGTCATTTTCAGGAAGTATCTCTGGAACTGTTCAAGGGGTTTACTTGGCAGTACCAGAGGGAGAATGTGCATCTACAAATGGCACACCCCCAAAGGGGGCTTTTGGGGCTGTTCTGTATTGTTTATTTGTTTTTATTTTAAAGTACATTTTAAATATACTTATTAGAGCCAGATCAGATGCATTGAATATTAGGGAGGTTTCAGATTACAGAGTCAAGCAGTTATCTTTAGAATCTGCCATTCTAAATTATTTTCTAAATAGTGTGTCTAAAATCTCAGTTCCCCAATTAATAATTGTATTGTTTAATCATCAGGCACCCTGCCTCTGCCTCTTTACCAGTCTCCTGGTTTGACTCTCCCCATCTGTTTGCCCTCCTGTCCAAGCTAGACGCTGGAATGGACACTAAATTTTCACAATAAAGTAAAAAATTTGGAATTAAGAGGAATATCAGTTTCCATTAATTCTAGTGCCCGATTAACCTGATTTACTTTAAACGTATGCTGGGTTTCATGTTTGCATATGATTTTCAATTATCCATAGATGGACTGATTTTGTGCTTTTCTGCCCAACTTAACAATTCTGATTCTGAATATTATTTTTAAATTGTATTTAAAATTGAAAATTATTTTAAAACTGCCTTATGTGCCCATATGCCCCCATTTATTTGTTTGGTTTGGACAGTGATTCTAGAATGAGTACTATCTAGTAAATGTGTTATTTTGTACAAAGCATAATAATTATTTTGAGAGATGTCAGGTTTTAGAAAAAGTATTGCCTTTCTTTATTATAGGAGAAATGTTTCAAAAGTAAGAAAAAATAGGTCGTAATAATGTTATGTGTGGTCAAAAAATGTCATCATCTAGGACATTATAATAAGTTGCTATGGAAATAACTGAAGTCTTCCTCAGGAGAAATAAAGAAAACAGGAGAGTAACGGCCAGAACGGTGGAGTCCTGGTGGCCTCCAGCCAGCACACCTGAGGGGAGCCCTCGGCAGCTGCAGTGCCCCAGAACTGGCTTCTAGTATTCTCCACGGACTTGGGCTTGGGACACATGGCAGGAATAGTACTTATTTGAACATCCAACTTTAGTTCTTCAAAGTAATCTCTACACAGGGGGACATGTTTCCAAGACAATTCACAGGCCTACCTGTGCACTTGTTGAGGACTTCTCAGGAGTGTCCAGCTTTGCTAGATGAAAACAAAGGATTGAGCAATGGAAGATATGGTTTCACACCCAGAATGACTTCATGTGCCTTTCTTTGTTCATCAAAGTGATTCTACTGCTCTACCGCTGGGAGAACTTGCCTTTTAGGTTGTTCCAGTATTTGGGACGCATTTATGCTTCCTTTCAGAGACGATCTTAGGGAGAGGTGAGCGTGTGTGAGATGGTTAGCCTGTGCTGCAAAGGTGTCTGCCATTACTTTCTGGCGGCAATGTGAGGAGATGGATTTAAGATGAGCCTTTGAAGTTCCTGTCATGATTTCCTGGGCTCTGAGGAAGGGTTGAGCCTCCTTTACTTCTCAGTGTTTTGAGTATTTTTTGAATGTTTGTAAGTTCTCTTGCACTCCTCTAATAAAAATGAAAGCACTCTGTCAGGAAATGACTTTGGGGTACAGAGATCTAGGTGAAAAGAAATAAATACTTGAGACTTTCAACTGGTCTTTTCTTTATTTGGAATAAAAACTAGTTTGATAAGCTTCCAGAGTTAGTGCTGCTTTAAAAACACTCTCTGGAATGATGGGAACTGTCCCTCAGGAAAGCTATGAGAGCTATTTCCAATATATTGCAATTGCTTTTGATTTTTAGTCCTTTGGAACAAATGTCTGATGCTATGTTTTTAGAGCTGTGGGGGAAAAAATGTCTAAAAATTCTGAAGGGTAGTATTTAAACAATGATTATCTGACTGAATTATGTATGAGCTGGATTCTAGGGCAGTTATCCAGTTCTTTTTGTATTGTCCTAACAGTAAAGCAGATAGTAAGTGACTTTACATGAAAAGTGACTTGCTGATTTCATACTGACATTGAAAGACATTAACCTTCTGTTTGACAGCTGGGGAATACCCCTTTTCCCTATGACTTATTACTTTTACATGAGGCTAAACCTGGATGATTCTATGTACTTATAATCTCACTATCCATATACCAGCTGCTAAAAAAAAATCATGACTTGTAATCTTGTCTTGAAATTACTCATAATTGTTAAGTTCACAGAAACCCTTCCTGTTTAGGGAAGATTGCTGCTAATAACGTCAGTTTGCAATGTTCTGCTTTAAGTATGTGTCATATGGGAGTCTAGAAACTATAATAAATATGATTGTACTAATGCACTGGCTGCTTTGTCTCCACTGATTTTGGGGAGCAGTGGAGGGGAGGATGCAGGGGAGTCTGTTAACCAAGTGAAGATACCAATTTAGAAACTTAAAAACATTGCAAGCCTTCTTCAATCTCATTATTGTAACTTTGTGTCTTTTCTGTACCAAGGTCCACACATTTAGATCACTGTCCTTGAGACAGCATTTGTTCTTGCAAGTTTGTTTGAAGTTCTTGCTTAGAAAAAGAACCTGGCCCAAATTGTGAATTATCTCTTCTATGCCCCACGCATTGGTAATTGCCCTGTGAATTTATTCTACCTCATAGTTTACCAGCATTAATCCACTTCTCATAATCTGCTGAGATCACCATTGATGCTGTTCCCTTATGAGGATTTTACCACGCTTGATCCTCACATGGTTCCAGAAATGTTTGAATCTGCCACTAACTTTCCTCTGTGCATGTACAGGAAGTGAACTGCCCAGCCACATTCATTCCTTGATCTCTTCTATGTGAGAACTGAGCTACCTGTATGAGGCAGACAAACAAAAATCACACTGATCCTTGGAGAGTGAAGCCTCAGAGTAACTGTCAAGACCCCATTCTCCACTTTGAAAGAATACATTAAGTTGGATTTATCTGACATATAGGAAATTTCTAACCACTGTACATTACGAATGTGAGACAAGACTCACATGCCGCAGTCCTGGCCCCTGCTTATTTGTTTTGTATCTTATAGACTTCTGATTAAATGAGAATGTCCTCATTAACCAACATAAAGGCAGAAGAGTCAGCTAGCTTGACATTTAAAATGTACAGTGACAGTTAAATATTGGCAGGGGGATGGAAACCAGTGGAATGAGATACACATATTACTCCTTCTCTATGCGTCCTGGGTAGGAGTGTGGTAAGGAAAAAAAGTCCGGTTTGCTCAGCCACATTGTCTTCTTGGATTTAAGTGAAGTGTTTTTCAGTCTCCCCAGTTAACACTAGATGGCAGTGGGTTAAAGAGAACTGCTTAGCCAGAGGTTCTAGAAGGACCTGAGTCTCCAGATCTTCAATCACTGCTGCAATTCATCATTAAATGCTTCCCAGTCTAGATTGAAGTATTCAAAGAAAAAGAAGCTATTATCAACCCAAGTGGCAACATAAATGTTTCTTACAATATTGAATTTGCCTAAGGTGAATCGATGACGATCTGCCAGTGAATGTGCTTGGGGATCAGTGGTGAGCAGAGATCGCCCAGTGTCCACTGTGTCAGGGAGTCTCTCGCTCTTCTCACATCATGGGGTTCCTCATTTCTTCTCAGAATATGGTCAGCTCCACCCAGCCTCTTCGCAGCTGCTACCTAAGGATTCCTCCAGGAAAACTGTCTTAAAGCTCCTGTTTTTAATAGCCTCTGTCCCACTTTTGGAAACAATTCAGTTCTACCCAATGTTGATGCCTGAAAGCCCAGTTGTGAGAACGATGGTAGCTCTCTTTTATGATTCCATGACCAGAACTGAGCCTGCATTTCCAGATTGCAAGCAAATCCGCTCTTGCATTGAAAGAAAATTCATAGAAGACACAGAAAAGTCTGTTGTTTAGGCTAGGCACCTGGTGTGGCAGGGGTAGATGGGCAGTACTAGTAATTCCTAGCACTTCATGTCAAGGCCTTCAAAGGCCTTCTCTCCTGTACCTTAAGAAATAATTTCCCAGCAGCCTAGCGTGAAGAGAAATATAGTATGTGAAGTAATAGATATTGGTCTAAGTGAATAACTAAAAATGAGATTCTACTAGCTTTATCTCATGCCTTTCTTTCCAGTGTTCTCCAACACATGGGAAGAATGCTTTCTCTTGGCCTTAACTCTAAATGCATCTTATTAAGGAAACTTGGTAAGTCTAAACTAGGTATGTGCTAAAGCTACAGAAAAATAAAGATTACTTGGAGGCCTGTAGTCTTTCCTCTGAGACCTAAAAGGGGGCACAGCAGAAAGGTTTGGCAAGCGGTCTGTCAATCTTGTAGAATTTCCTTTCAGCTTAATGATCTGTTAATTTCCAGAATATGGCAATCCTGGGGGGAGCCCACTATCCACAGATCTTCCACTAGTTACTTCTGAGCCTCATTTTCCTGATTTCCAAAATAAGGATAATACCACCCGCTGCATCAGTTTGGTGACAGCAAGTGCTGGCCCAGACAGCAAGCACTTAGCTTGCTTTGTGATGTTCGGCACCACTTTGCTCAGCACTGTCCTTCACTTCCCAGTGCTTGTGTTCCATATCCTGAGATCAGGTCTGACAATTGGACAGAGCAGAATGCTATTGTCATCAGTTTTTTCTAGCACACAAGTGTCTGAAAGATTGTTCCCAGGTTTCCTGAGTTCTGTGCACTTCCTCATTTGGCTCTCCCTGGGTTAAAACTTAAGAATATCATCAACTTCCACACTGCTGGGAGAGCTGTGTGCTCCCCTAGGAGTGACGTTAGACTCCACGGGACATTCATTAGTTGGGGTTACGAAAGGACCACAGGCCACTGGAATGGTAATTTCCTACATGGGACCCCAGTGACCCAGAGTGAGCTAGCTCAGCTGGTCTGAGCATGTGGCTAATGAGGGAAGGGTCACGGTTTCACTCCTATGAGGGCCAATTAGTGTCACGTGGAAAAGCATGCTCCTCGAGCATCAGGCAGCAGCCTTAAGTGTGTGGCACTGGTGACCAGGATGGCTCACTGTGGCCATCATCACTGTCGGAAACACAACCCAAAACATACATCTTTCTTATTATTACATAACCCATTGTTTCCAAACTTGTCGTTTGCACAGCGCCTTCACAATTTTTGCTTTATCCAAAGCACATCCCTGCATTTTTACTTATTTGGTATTTTTCTATAAGTAGACTCATTTTTTACATTACACTAAAAGGAAGCTGTGCATTACTACCATTAAAGAAAAATAAGTAAATCTGCCCTAAAATTAAAGTGCATATTAAAATAAATGCACACTGAAATGAAAATGTCTTCATACCATCTGCAAACACCTGGCCACAGGTGATCAAGGCACTGCATATTAATTAATGTTGAATGTACATAAGCTGCATGTGTTATATAACACACGCACTGCTCTGTCATAAAATGGTCACATCAGCAGTGTTATGAAGCAATTGCTTCAGTGGGAAGAGTTGGGATCAGTGACTGGGGAGTTTCACACTTGAATCTATGAAATTATTCTTGCAGAAATTCCAGCACCAAAGGTCTTCCTAATAGCCATTAATGTGTAGCTATAAAACCTAAACTGAACAAATCCAGGGTATAATTTACATCTAGCTTTTGCTCAAAAGTCATGGCTTTTGTTCGCACTCTCCATTGCACTATCATTAACACTGTGCTGCTTACACATCCTTATCATTATCGCCCATTTTATGATAAACAAAGCACAGACATGCCAGGCAGATATGTCGACTCCACGTCTTTATTCCTCTCTAGTCATGAGCCAGTTCGTGCTAATATCCCTCATTGGCCAGTTCCTTATGGAGATCAAGTTATAACCAATAGTGGTGCTGGTAATAAAAATGTATTCTTTATGAATTGAGCATGTTACATCCAATCTACTTAAGAAAATGCACTGGAGGACAGATACATAAAAAGACACACACACACACACACACACACACACACACTTACTTGGGCCTCTTCAGGGTTGAGAGCATGCCTGGCCTATTTCATTATTTGAGGTTCCCAATACATTAAAAAAATGAAGAAATGTCAAATCAGAGTTGTAAATGTGGTATATTTTAAAAGTTCAAGTCGAATGATGAACAGCTTTCAGACCTCTCTGTGAGTGGGTTTGTAGCCTTACTTGAAGGTAAAGCCACAGTCTGTATGTGAGGTCTATGCATCTGATGTCCAAAGGGCCTCCCTCCCCACCTCCAGGTCCAGAGATGGGTTCTGCCAGGAAAATCAACTTACATAGGGATTTGGGTTCAATATACCATAAGTCAGAGTGCGACAATTTAGCAATGTGGAAACACAAAGTCATCCCAGTCATAGATGGGTCAGAAAGTGAATAGCTTTCATGTTCCTTCTTATGTGTCTCTTACCTTGTGGATTCTTGCTGCAACCACTTATTTCAGTGCTGCTTGGGTTACCCAGCTTTGATAGTTTTCTCATCTTCTTGGAAAGCCATTAATTGGTAGCAGGGGGGCCAGAACCATTTTATAAGTGCCAGAAGACTTACTTAAATCAGAAAATCAAAATATTAAGCGGGAATGCAGTTACAGCTTTCTTTCATTGCGTGTGGACCTGATGACTATTTTAACTACAAGAACTACTTTGAATGACTGCACACACACACACACACACACACCGTAAAGAGTAGGGAAGGGACTCCATGCTGTTAACATCTACAAAGTTCTCGTTTATGATTCTTGCTGGAACCGCAAGATGGGTAATTGGGGAAATTGTGTATGTGTTCATGTAAAACAGTATAAAATAGCATTTATGTAAAAATAATCTATTAGGATTCTGTTTGTATGGCCTTGTTCAAAGATCAGTACAAACCTGTGATCTTCATCTCTGAGGGCAGAAAGCAATTAGTTCATTTGGTATTCTGTGTGAGAAATCTAAGGCCTCTTCCCTACCCTTGCCAGATCCAATTATGCTTCAGCAAGTCCTTGCCCCCTTCTCCTCCCCTGTCCCCAGACCAGAGTTCATCTGAGCACATCTGTCACTCCATGAAAAGGTTTCGGCAGAAACTGCCCTTCCTGTGCTAGACTCATCTGTCCTGACTGGTTTAGAACTGTTTTTACTTACTTTAGTTAATATATACATATGTATATATACACATACACAAACATCTCCACATTTAGATACCCTTATATATTAATATATGTGTGTCATTTAATAGAGAGACCAACTATGACATAAACCAAGACTTAAATGGAGATTCCAACTCCAAAATGGTGGGAAAAACTGCCAGGGGAAGAGCCCAGAAGGATTCTGAATGTTTCCTTCTAGATCCACATTCCAGTTCAGTCC